GTAGTGAACTGAAGAGACTACTCTTTCCCCATATGTTTTTGTCCTCCACAGGTTTTTCATAATATCAGCTTAGTTCTGCCTTTTTAAAGGCAAATGGATGTATCTGAAAACATAATGCTGACTGCACTGCACCTACCATTTATAATTTGAACTTAATTTAATTTGTGAAAACATCTATGAAGGAAGCCATCCTTTAATACTTAAAAACAGGCCATCAACCTCACATAGGACAAAGATACCATGTTACTAATCTCTTACTGCAACTGAGAATTGGCTTTATACTGCATAAACATTTTTGGGATTGCAGTATTGAATCTGGCAGTCCCTACAAGAAAACAGGTAAGTTGTCCTGAATTTTATATAGTTTATTCTTATGTAAGTATAACATGCAGCCTCAGTATAGAGGTCTATATTGTTCATTTATTTATTCAATTCACCCATGTCCCACCACAATCTATTGACTCTTAACTGTTACGATTATGGTAGAAATTACTGCCCTGCTGACGTTTTCTTTAAATGTAGTTTCATCCTGAGTTATGTATCAATTGTGTTTCAAACAACAGGTCTGAACTGAATTTCAGTAAAAACCTGTTGATCAAAATATATACTACTCTAAAAGAGATTCAAAGTGTACAGGTGCATGCATTTTTCCATATGAAAAATGCATACATCTGTAACAGACAGTTAAGCGATATGAAAGCTTAACTATCTGTTTAGGTCTTCATGCAACCTGTCAGGAAAAATATAAGAGGAAAAACGAAAGTGAGAAAGCATTTGCCACTTCAGATGACATCTGAAATTAAACTGGCAATCTTTGGAACAAAAAGGTATGATTTGCTCTAGAGTACAAAATGTTGCTTTGCTTACTTGAGATAGTGATTTCAATTGGACTAGGTGCAAAACTAGTAATCGAACATGATTGATTAAAATTTTCACAGCAGTGGAGCAAATAATTTAAAAGAACAGGGCAACTAAATACACAAGAACTAATGCAGGTTTTTTTAATGTCCTCATAGATAATTTGACCTCCCTCTTACAGGATTTTACCCAATAAATTAATGCAAACTTTACTCCATTAGGCATTCATTCTCTTTTTCAAACAAGTGATGGCTTTCCGGATAATGAATTTTATCTTAACAAAGCTAAGGCAAAATTGGAGAAGTACGCCATGAAAATCCTGACTTGCTGTTGCTCAACATAGCAACATCACTACTGTTATCTATGTGGGTTTTTAAAAAGAGTAAAGTAGGAGAGAAAACTGGTAAAATCCAGGATAGAAACTGGCATTTGTGACCCTTTCCCCTTTGAAATTTCTTAAGTCAAAATACAGAAGCGATTGACTTCAAAAAGGATATTCAAACGGATAAATCAGCTTTCCTATCACAGGCATGCATTCTTAAACATATGGATACCAAAATGATGAAATGTGTGTTTCCTCCTTTTGTACTTGCGTGTAACAGTGCAAGTATCTAAGAGATGTTTGTTGCAACATCATATTAAGTATTTAATTTCCTACCTCTTTAGCAGATGTCTATACCACCTAATTTTTCTGATAGCCCTCTTTATTTTTAGAAAATAATTGACTTGCCCCTACCTCACTTTGGCCAATGTGTCTATCTGGAAAGCCATTTATCAGACAGTAACAAATAGTATTTTTTTAAAAAATTACATAAACAATTGATAAAGCCACACAAACCCCAAAGTAACTCTGGTCAGTGTACAAGGGTTAAAAGCAACAAGAATGTAATAATAAAGTCCTTTTTACTGCTCTGTCTTTTTATTTATTGCTTTGCCAGTTATTTATTGAAATGCACTATCACTTCAGTTACTGAAGAATAAGGGAGATAGAGCACTTCTTTTGAAATCCATCTTTTCTAATTCATTGGGATTTAACTAATGTTGGATTGGGCCTATGCCCTCCCATAAATGGAAGTTCATGGATTCAATTCAGGAATTTGGACTAGATGCTGATGATGTCTACGAGAACTAACAAGGCCTGGATCAAGTTCTACTTACATAAACTTACCAAATATAAATAGAGCTTGGTCATGCCAAGTATAAAAATATTTAATACTTGACAGTGAGAAGAATTAATCAGTCTTCTGAAGCTATGTGTAGTCTATTTTAAGAAGAGATTGGATAGACATTTATTCAGAATGGTATAGGGTCTTCTGCTTGGGCTTGGACTAGAGGGGGGTTGGACTAGAAGACCTCCAAGGCCCCTCCCAACTCTAATATTCTGTTTATCTCCATTCAAATGGGAAAATGGGAGAAATGAAAGAAAAATGGATTCTGAATACAACTTTATTCAATTCTTAACAAAGTGGCATATTAAATATATCCATTTGCAATCTTGAGCTTTGCACTTGTTTTACCTTTTTCTATTTCAAAAATCACTGGTTTGAAAGTAACCGCTACTGATGGGAATTACGTAATTGAAAAAGAAATTCTATCGGCTAGCATGACAGAACAATGAACCAATGTAAATAGAGATTGTTCATGCCAATTATAAAGATCACTTGTTTCTTAACAGTGAGAAGAATTAATCAGTGGAATGTCTTGCCTTCAGAAGTTGTGGGTGCTGCTGCAGACTTTTAAGAAGAGATTGGAGATTTGTCCAGAAAGGTATAAGGTCGCCTGCTTGAGCAGTGGTTTGGACTAGAACACTTCCAAGGTCCTTCCAACTGTTATTTAGTCTGTCTATGCAAGACCAATGCCAAAAACTAACAATGGAACATAATGCTATATACCAATTCCAAAATGAAAAATGTGAGTTCCATCCAAAAACAAAACAAAACCCACCACCAAACACCCTTCTTCTAGCCCCCTTCTCAAGCACAACAAAATCCAAATGCTTTTCTCAAAGCAGACCTTTCACTCTTGCTTTCCACAGGTTTCTTTTATGTCTTTCTAAAGCTGTGTGTCAGCTACAACTATGAGCTAAGAAACCGACCTTTGCATTCCCAGAATGGGAGTATACAGGCCTTCTAAGTTTTCCTTCTCAAGAAAAACAGTAGGGAAAAGGGAAAAAACAGAATACTTAACATGGGACTTGTTTTACCAATGGCTAGCTAACGGGAACGGAAGTTAGAAACCAAAAAGATTAAAAAGATAATTTTATACTGAAAATTCTTCAAGATGGATAAACCAATTGTATTATGACTATGTGACTAATGTTGACATATATGATTATTATGATTTTTGTTGTATCTTTATTCAAAACTAACTGTACCCAGATAACATGTTGTTCAGGTAGAAACTGAGTTTTTTTATGTGTATTTTAAAAAATGTATTAATAAAACATATATTTAAAAAGAAAAACAGTAGATACTGGTTTCTGTGAGCAGGCAAAAAGCTAGCCTACTTAAAACCAGAGCCCAAAACCAGGTACTATTTTCATCATTGGCACCCTGCCAAGAAAGGTGAAGTTATCAGGGCCTTCCATGCTTTGAATGCCTTTTCTTTCATGGCTGAAAAGAACTCAAAGGAGCTGATGGAAGAGAAAGCTAACAAATTGAAGACACATTTTCCAGGTGCATTCCTAAATCTTGTCATCCTTCAAATTAAGCCCCTTCCCTGTCCTGCATAATTAAACAGAAATACAATCATATGAATCCTACAGATAACGCAGTTGGCATATTAATTCTTGTGAATTAGGAAACTGTAATAATATCTGACAGATTCATATAGGATTTTCTTTTCCTACCAGATTATATCAAGTCTTAGGAGTGTGTGGAAGAAGTATTGCAAGCTAACCAGTTTCATCAATCCAATTAATAATATTGGAATAAAGCTATGAGAATAAACCAGTTTAGTATAGTGGTTAAAGCACTTGGCTAGAATCCTGGTGACTGTGCATTCTAGTCCTATCTTAAGGACAAGCAAGCTGGGTGTCCTTGGGCCAACAACTCTAGAAAGAAGGCAATGGCAAAACACTTCTGAAAACTTATAAAACAACAACAGCCCTGCAAACAGTGGCCAAAAGTCATCCCTGTCTAAACCAAACCTTCCATCAGAAGACCTGGACAGCCTTGCCAACTTGCGCTGCCATGGAGTCTGAAAAAAAAAAAAAATCTCTATAATGTGATGAATCCTACTAGACTCTAGAGCTGAATCCAAGCTTCCACTCTACAAAGTGGGCAACAAGGCTGACCATATAATTGGCTCATCATCATCACAGTTAAGACCTGCCCATAGCAAAGAGACATCCAAAATCAAGTATTTCTCCCATCACTCAGTACTTCTAAGGCACTCAAATGCAGAAATCAATAAACATCAAGTGAAAAGTTTCTGATTAACCCCTAACACAAGAGACCAAATTACACTGAAAACCGGTCGTAGCTTAATTCATTTTCCCACAACCAAATCCGGAAAATCTGTAGCATTTTATTACATTATTATAAACCATCAAACTTGTGACACCCCCCCCCCCCCACACACACAGACAGGCAAGACAGAATATAAACTGACAGCAAACAGCATTCCTTTACAGTACTGGTGTTACCCAGTTAGGGAAATGGAACGTCTGCAAGAAAAGCAAGCTCAGAGAGCACCAAGGATCCCTTATTTATTGGGACCTTCTCCGATTTTGTAACCTGTTATATTTTACTGACGGATAGTAACCACACTGCCTCTCGCTTGTAGCCATTTAAACCAGCACTCCCGATCCCGAGCCATGTTCTGATCCCTTACCCAAGACTCTTTAAGTTACTCCAGATCCAACAAACTCCCCTCAGTCGCTCTTGAGAGGCGGGGCTTTCTTTTTAAAGTTTAGGCAAGCAATCGGCTGGAAAACTTCCCACGTCTTTTTATTTTATTTTATTTTGTCAAGCGATTATAAGATAACAAGTATAAGTATAAACATAGTTATGAATACATGAAATGGATACATATAAGAAAAATAAAAAGAAACAACAGGACATAAAGAGGCGGCTTTGTTGCTGGTTCCGAGGAGCCCCTAAAACTATTCTTTGCAATACACGGCTAGGCAGTATACTTACTGGGTTAAAGCCGCTTTTTCCTTTTTACTGGCCACTCTGACGGGCTTTAGTTCGTCCCCGTCGGGCTGAAGATCAATCATGAGGACCATCGAGAAGCAAAAGTTCGCCTCTGATCTGTCGTCTCCTCTGGCTCTACTCCCCCTTCTCCCTGCTGATAACATTCAACTAGGACTCCCTCCGAGCATTTCTAGCTTTTCCTCCTTCCTATCACATTACGCTACTTCGAAAGCTCAAAGCACAAAATGTGACCGAGCGCGGGTTTTTTCTTCCCCCCTTTCTTTTTTCTTCCTTAGTCCCCAACTAACCTGAGCGAGTTTGAACTGGTATGGTTGTCCGCCCAGGCTTATAGGCTGATGCACAGAGGGAGGAGAGAAGGAAAGTCCGGGAGGGAGCCGGCCCTCTTCTGCTCGACCCACGAACTCTGGAAGGAAAAGGAAAAAACCAGTCCCACCAGCTCGTCAGAGATTCAACCGATTACTCAAGCGCGGAAACGACAGCGCCTTTTACAACTCAGCAGCTTTGAAAAAGTCGGATGAGAAGGGGTTTAAGAATATATATATCGAGAGAAGATGGAGATCATGGTGGCGCTGAGAGGACTGAAGCAATGAAATTTGTATTAAAAGCCTGCCCAAGGTGAAACGTGGGAGTGGAGAAAAAAAAAAGTTGGAAGGTCATTTGGCCTGATCCTAAGCTCTTGAGGGGACTCTGTTCAAGGCAACTTGAGGGGACTCTGTTCAAGGCAAATGTCCTACCTGTCAATGAATACTTCAGCTTCAACCATAACAACACAAGAGCACACAATAGATACAAACTCAAAGTTAACCGCACCAAAACTTGATTGCAGGAAATACGACTTCAGCAATAGAGTGGTCAATGTCTGGAATACTCTACCCGACTCTGTAGTCTCTTCCCCAAACCCCAAAAACTTTAACCTTAGACTGTCTACTATTGACCTCACCCCTTTCCTAAGAGGTCTGTAGGGGGCGTGCATAAGCGCACCAACGTGCCTACCGTCCCTGTCCTATTGTTTCTCTTATTCTTTTATTTTTCTTATATGTACCCATTTCATGTATTCACAACTATGTATACACTTATACTTATTATCTTGTAAACAATTGGCAAACCAAATAAATAAATAATAAAAACTTAGGTAACTCTAAGGCTTATTACAGAGCTTAGATGATTCACAGCTGGATATGACCTGCTCAGCTATTGTCACTCTGTGGCTTATGGATACAAAAGGACCTCCTGAATGTTTCATGTGGGAATAGCAATAAGAGGAGAAGCGAAAAGGCCCTTTGGTCCTTGATTTCACCTGAGGCCTCTCCTGACTGCTTGGCTTGAAAAAAATGGCAGAGAGCTGCATGGGGATTGGCAGTGGGGACAGGAAATTTCAGGTTGGGCAAGTTTTCTGCTGATTTGAAGAATAGGTGGGGAGCTATTCAGTTCCCCAGTGTGAAAGGGCTTGAGGCAGGTAACCTACAGGTTTCAAGCATGGAGAACCCACTCACTTCTCCCATACTGGTAGGGTAGGAATCTGGCCTTGCTTGGCAGATACGATAGTATTGTTTCAGGTGGCTTTCTCTGACTGGAAACCTCCTGGCAGCTGGGCTTCTGTGGTCCCTGAACCTGAGGTATTCAGAGGACAAGGCTCAGGGAATATAAAGAACCAAAAAGTTCAACCTTAAGCTATGTAACTCTACAGTAGTCCTGGTCTTACGAGTACAATTGAATCCAAAATTTCTGCTGCTAAGCAAGTGAGTTAAGTGAGTTTCACGGTCACCCCATTTTACTATCTTTTTGACATTTCTAAGCAAATCACTGCAGTTGTGAATTCCATGGTTGTTAAATGATTGCAGCTTCCCACATTGACTTGGCTTAACAATGGGAAGGTTACAAATAACTCCGGGACAGTGCAACTGTCATACATACATGGCAGTTACCAAGTGCCTGAATTTTGATCATGTGTCCATGGGCTGCAATTGTTGTGTGAAAAATGGTCAGGTCACTTTTTTCAGTGCCATTGTAGCTTCAAATGGTCACTGAACGAATGATTAAATGTTCCAGAATGATTGGCCAAGTAAATTGAGCATTCTGAGAGTATGAAGTCCAAACATTCTGAGAGTAGGGCACCAGGGTGGAAAAAAAACAACAACTGGATTTGAGCTATTGTCTTGAGATAGTAAAACAATGCATAGATTGTTATTAGTACTATGTCAGGGTTTCTCAGTTTTAACAACTTTTAGGATGTGTGGACTTCAACCCCCAGAATCTCCTAGCCAAGGGGATGGGGAATTATGGGAATTGAAGTCCATACATCTTAAAGTCACCAAAGTTGAGGTTCTATGTCATCTTTTTCTAGCTGCCCGGGGAGCACTAAAAAAAGAAAAAAGAACAGGACAGGGGTTTCTTTGCATTTTTAACCAGGGAGCTCATCATTTGTCCTGCCTTATTCTTTTAGAATCTGTTAAAAATGACAAGGCCTCCTTAGCAATGAAAACTTTTTGAGGAATCAACACAAATTACCCTTTGTGTTACCTCTTTAGTGAATTTACATGCTCTTTCCCCAAGGGTCACTTAACCTGCAATGACTTTCAAAACATTCAGCCAGATTTCTTCACAAAATGACCACATTGATGATGATGTTCTGGACCTCACTTCTTTTTTGTGTAACTGTTAAGCAATTTCAAATCTTTTGTATGCTTCCTGTAAGGATTATGTCATTTAGAGTAGCTGTCCCCTTTTCTTACCTCTAGGCCACTTTATGAAAGTAAAGCTGTGAAATGCAGTTTAAAAGTTGTCAAATGCTACTGGAATTCAGGTTAGCATTCTGATATGATCTGAATCTCCTGGAGTTGAGTACTTAGACACAACATTTTGCAGTCGGTTGTGCTCATGATTCTCATCATACTAAGAAATCCCTACAGTTTTGAGATTCTGAGGGCAGTATAGACCCCCTTGGGCTCATCTCCCCTCTATTGCTAGTTATAACATGAATCCAATCACACTAAATTCATACTGTATATCAGATCAAACTCGTGGCCCACAGGCCAGAATGTCATGCACTGGCCCCGCCCAGTTTAGTGAAGGGGGAAAAAGTCCTGATACATCACATGATGCTGCTGTGACATTGCGAGTTTGACACCCCTGCTGTATATGGACTGATCTGATCTGTGTTTCCCAGACTAACATACAACTTGGAAATCTTGCAGCTCTGTCAGTTCTGATTGGCCTGACATTTCCTGGCTTAAAACATATCAAAATAAATTTAAAAATGGGTGAAAGTACACTTGACATATATTTTACACATTTAAGTCTAAATTTTCATGCAAATTAAAATTAATGCAGAAAGAGGGTGGAAGGAATTACTATACCCACTTGTGAAACTGTATTTTCTAAATATAGTGATTCACCACTTTCTAGGATGAATCATAATTGCAAGATAGAGCACAATATTAAAATTGAGATACAAATTGGATATAACTATTTAAATCATTTTGTTCTAGCAAATACAATTACCAATACTTGCAACTGAATCAGAATCAATGGCACTATTTGTATTATATTATCAAATTAATTTATTAAAAAACATTCATAGTGACATGGCATTAACTAAACTAGATTAGATCAAATTGTATTTTAAAACAAATTATTTTTATTCAAAAGTAAGAGTATGCAATATGTATTTTAAAATAGATATAATTTCAAAAAATATTTCAATACGTAGGCAAAGAAAATTACTGAGGTTATACAACTAGTGCTTAGTATAAGGTTAATAAAGATTGACCGTATCAGGCAAAGAGCATAAAGTTATTTTTATGATGTGAAAAAGAATATAAATCTTTAGATCAGTACCAAACTTTCTACTATGTTGTTATTTGTAAATCCGAAAAGAAAAAATTAAGTAGAAAAAATAATCTACTAAAAATAGTATATGTAAGTATTTGGTTTCTGTCTTTCCTCTTCTTTGCATTCTGATTTATAGTGTTTATAAATACCACACTCTAAAAGTGTTTTAAATACCACACTCCAAAAGTTTATATTTGTTTTGCTGTGTGATACACACACATACACATATATACACATACACACATATACATACATACTACATACACACACACACACACACACACATATTACAGTAATAGAATATATTGTTGTTTAAATGTAATTATTCTATTATGTGTGTACACTATTCTTTTTGCCATTGCTGCATATTCTCCAAATTTAAGTTCCCAAGACAATGTTTATTTTCTGGCCACTGAATACACGGTCAATTTTGTGAAGAACCAGTGTGGTGCAATGATTCCCCCCCCCTCACAATTGCCCCTCTACAAGTTAGGTTGGACTGAAAGACAGTGATTGGTCTAAAGTCATACTAGACCTTGGGGGGGGGGGGGGAATGAAGGAAAATGCAATGCACTCTGCTTTGCCCAAAATATAAACCAGTTAATGAAAGGAAGAAATAAAACTATATTAGTAGTCTCGAAAAATAGCTGCCATGAGGGGCTGGGCCTATTCATGAAGGGATCATTAGTTTTTCTTTAATAAATCAATTTATTAAAGGACAAACTATTGAGAGTTCTAAGTACCACTTTGTCTTAAATTTATCTTTTTTCCTCAGTAGGAGGGTATTCAGGTCAAGCATCAGGCTCCAGACATTCACCATATTTATTTTTCTAGGATACTTACATGATCTGTGTCAGGGCCGGATCAGAGGTGGTATTCAGCAGGTTCTGATCAGTTCTGGAGAACCGGTAGTGGAAATTTTGAGTAGTTCAGAGAACCGGCAAATACCACCTCTGACTGGCCCCGCCCCCATCTATTCTCTGCCTCCCGAGTCCCAGTTGATCGGCTGCGTCTTCTTTTGTTGCCCTGCACAGGAGAACGGAGCTGGAAAGCAGGTTAGTAGGGTGGGGAAGGAATGGAGATTTTGCAGTATCCTTCCCCCAGGAATGGGGAGGGAATGGAGATTTTACAGTATCCTCCTGTCACACCCACAAAGCCACGCCATGCCCATCAAGACACATCCACAGAACCAGTAGTAAACTTTTTAAAATCCCACCACTGGGCCAGATGTATTTTTGGAAATAAAGCTGAAAAATTGAGGCGTTGTGTGTGACATGCCAGTTTCACATTTAATTTCTTTTAATTAAATTTTTTTTAAGGCAAAGAGAATAGGGAGCTTGGCAGAAGCAGATTGCCAGTTTGTCAATTAGTTATTTATGGCAAAAATGTGCTATCCTGCTGACTAATACAAATAATTGTCATGCTCATTTCATCAAATTAATAGACAAATTATAATCAACAAATGTAAACAATGGATACCTTATTAAA